CATAGCACAAATAGTCTTCGTAAGGACTAAGGACTGGCCTCGATGAAGTTGGACTTGTGTTGAAGACTTTGTTTGGACTAGTTGTACTTTTCAATTGATAATATGTGATATAGTATCATAGGAAAATAGACATCGTTAGAAACATTATGGATCAAACTCAATTGTACATATTGGTAAGTCTCTGGACCGTAGATCTTTAAAAATGATTTGGTCTAGTTCATGGTCTTTGTTGTGGAATGGTGTGATCTGCTGGTCTGGTCTGGTCTGATCGAGATTGCGGTTTGTCAATACCAAATCATGGACTCACCCAACCCATTTTCCAATCCGTGTTAGCAAGCTCCATGATCACTCTCTCTAGATTACCCTCTGGATAATCTGGAGATCGACTTGACAATCATAATTTTCTCGATTACCCTCATAGTTAGCGGGCACTAAGAAAGTATGATTTGTTTTATAGCTCTCATGAGTTTGTCACATATTCACAAAATTGAAAGTTTGATATCGTAAACAAAAATTAAATCGGAAAACTATCCTTAAATTATTGGAATTCTTAGCTCAAACTTTAATTATACGCAGAAGCTCCAACTAGTTTTTTTTTTTTTTTTTTGACAAAAGATAATCATATAGAAGCTCCAACTAGCAACATCTCAATTTTTCCACATATGCGGGAATTATGTTGTGATATGCCATATCCTTGACTTTGATTGGAAAGGTTGGACGAAATATAAATCCTTTAGGTGCTAGATCTCATTGTACCAAATCTTATATACAGTTAAAACCCTACCCTACTTTTAGGTGCTAGAAATAGAAGCACACTCTAAAATCCTACCCTACTTTGCACTATATAAAAAGAGATACTCAATTAGCCCAAATCTTATATACAGTTAAAGCTCCTTGTATTTCTACCGAAAAAATAATCTCCTTATCGATGTATGGAGGAGGTTGGAACCAACAACCATTGCCATTTTCAATAATAATAAATCATAACACCAAAAGAGTAAACAATCTCTTCTTCCTATCAAAGAATAATTACTACTGTTCACTCTAATGAACCAAGATTTTGATAAAATATTAGCAAAAAAAGAAAGAAAAAAAATCATATATGACAAGCATGGGCAAGGGGGCTGAATCACATAAAGCCCATGAAAAGGGAAGCCCAGAGTGAGCCCACCATAACACTTATGCTCCACAATCCTCATCCAACCTGATTACTAAAGGAGAATCAGAAGACGAGGTTCCTTTCTTGGTTTATTGCACACTCGCCATTGTCTTTCCTAATAGCGAGAATTCAGTACAAAATATATTAGTAGAGGTACAAATTCAGTACAGTGGATTTTTTTTATTATCTATTTTTATTGTTCACGCTTTTTTCGAATGCAAATTCATCAAACCGAACTTTAAAATAAATAAGAGTCTCTCTAATACTATTTGTTTAAATCATCTACCCACCACCCAATCCCCTTACCTCCTTCGCCCTTCGTCTCCCCCAACCCTCTACCTCCTCCGCCCTTTATCTATTTTGTATTATTCACGCTTTTCTCGAATGAAAATTCATCAAACCAAACTTAAAATAAATACAAAGTAACTCTAATACTATATGTTTTAAATCATCTACCCACATTAATTGAACAAAAGAAGATCATCTATCCACATTACTAAAACTGAAATGCGAAATTATACTACCAATATTTCTAAATATTTTCATCATCCACCGAACGAATAGCATAGGGAGTAACAAGACTTTAATGTATACAAGTATACAACGCATCACGCCACCTAATTCAAACCCAAGTCCGTTTCCCCTTCCTTCCTCAAACGTCGATCCATTTTTTTGTTGGAACCCCAAACCTTAATTTAATGCTACAAACCCAACCTAACCATCCTCCACTATATATAGCTTCCCTTCCTCATCCCTTCCTTCTCCACACACAACTCAGTCTGCTTCTTCACTCTTTCACATTCTCCCATTTTCCTCCAAACAAGCAAATATGGAAAACCTCGACAACCACAATACCTTCCTCATGAGCTCCAAAGACACGAGCTGGTACTTCTTCACCCTCCCCGCATTTCTCGGCACCAAAACCCTCCTCGGCGATGGCGACACCTACTACCTCCTCTTCTCCCTCCTCGCCGCCTTCCTCTCCCTCGCCGCCGTCACCTGGCTCCTCACCCCGGGCGGCTCAGCATGGCGCCACGGCCGCACCTCCCGCGGCCCGGCCCACATCCCAGGCCCACGCGGGCTCCCAATCTTCGGCAGCCTCTTCGCCCTCAGCCGCGGCCTGGCCCACCGCACCCTCGCCTCCATGGCTTGGGCCCGACCCGGGCCCAACAACAAACAGCTCATGGCCCTCAGCCTCGGCGGCTCCACTCCCCTCGTCGTCTCCTCCGACCCCACCACGGCTCGGGAGATCCTCACCTCGGTCGGCTTCGCGGACCGCCCCATCAAGCAGTCGGCTCGCAGCCTCATGTTCGAGCGCGCCATCGGGTTCGCACCCAACGGCTCGTACTGGCGGCTTCTCAGAAAAATCGCGTCGGCTCACCTCTTCTCCCCGCGCCGCATTGCGGCTCACGAGCCGATGAGGCAAGCCGAGTGTGCCGCGATGCTCGACGGCTTGGCCGCCGAAATGGCCACCAAAGGACGTGTGGAGCTCCGGTCCCACCTCCAGCTGGCGTCGCTCAACAACATAATGGGGAGCGTCTTCGGGAAGCGATACGACGCCGTGGAGGACCGGTTCGAGCTGGAGCAGCTCAAGGAGATGGTTCGCGAAGGGTTCGACCTGCTGGGCGCTTTCAACTGGTCCGATTACCTTCCCTGGCTCAGCTGGTTCTACGACCCTTGCAGGATCAACGAGCGCTGCGCCAAGCTCGTGCCACGTGTCAGGGAACTCGTGAAGGGAATTATCGAGGAGCACCGAGTGGAAGGGAAGTTCGGCGGTGACGTCGGCGATTTCGTTGACGTCTTGCTGTCGTTGGAAGGAGAGGAGAAGCTCGAGGAAGATGACATGATCGCTGTCTTATGGGTACGTAATATTATTACATAATAATATTTATTTTTATCTTTATTATTTGATTTCAAATTTTCAATACGTTCCATTTAAGAAATTAAATAATACGTTGCGTTACAGGAGATGATATTTAGGGGAACCGATACAACCGCGCTGCTAACCGAGTGGGTCATGGCCGAGCTGGTCCTCCACCCAGAGATCCAGCAGAAGCTACGTGCTGAGCTGGACACCATAGCTGCTGACTTGACGGATGCTGACGTGGCGAAATCGCCGTACCTTCAGGCCGTGGTGAAAGAGACCCTACGCGTCCACCCGCCAGGCCCGCTCCTATCGTGGGCCAGGCTGTCCACGTCGGACGTCCAGCTCAGCAACGGGATGGTGGTCCCTGCCGGCACCACGGCAATGGTCAACATGTGGGCCATCACCCACGACCCGGAGGTTTGGGCCGACCCGCTGGAGTTTCGACCCGAGAGGTTCATGGAGAAAGGTGGTGACGTGGATGTTCGCGGTGGCGATTTGAGGCTGGCTCCTTTTGGTGCTGGACGGAGGGTTTGCCCCGGGAAGAATCTCGGGATGACCACGGTGGCGCTCTGGGTGGCGAAGCTGGTGAACCGGTTCGTGTGGGCTGAGGATGCGGCCGAGCCGGTTGATCTGGATGAGGTGTTGAAGCTTTCCTGTGAGATGAAGCATCCTTTGCATGCAGTCGTGGTTGCTAGGAGTTAGGGTTTTTTTAATAACCATGCAGTGACGTAGAAACAAAGAAGTATGGTGGGTGTGGTGGTGATGTTTTGATCTTTGGTTGCTATCTTAGCCCTTAGGGTTTGGATATTTCGGCTCTTTTTATCTTTGTCGCATTTCGGATTGCTATCGATGCCATAAGGGTGTGATAGTTTAAAAGGGGAAAAGCGTCGTTAAATAATGTAGCGCTTTCCTTAGTCATTTTGGATAATTTTGGAACTATGAATTGCATTTTATTTGGCTAAGTTGTTCTGAAGTTTTATTCTTATTGGTTTTTCAAATTGGTGTTGCCAATTATTATGATTGTTAATTAAGGGGAAAATTCTGAGACCCAAAGCTGAAGTGACACACAATTACGCAATAAAACTTGTATCGTTACTGGGAATATATTCAAATCTCCCTCATGAATGTCGAGTAGTACTGCTCTATTCATAGTTGAAGCCATTTTGGACTTCCTGTATGAAAAGAAATGAGTAGTATATGCATCCTTGTTAATTTCATTTGTTATGGCTAATTAACCCATGAGTTTCTGCTTCAACTAGAGCATACAAATCACTGGAACAATATCTTAAATGGTTATTTGTTAATATCAAGATAGTGGGGTTTAAATTTATGTCCTGAGTGGCAATTTTCTCACGAATGCACCCGTTAAATAAAAAAAAATTTCACACCTTGTTTTGGGTGCTTGTAAACATTGCAATTTTCTTGCAGATCAGGTAAATAATTGATTTTTTTTTTGGAATGCATGGGTTTCTAAATGTCCATTTTTTTTAGTGGTTGTGATCTTATAGAGATTAATTTTTGCATACTTTTATTCCCAGTAAAGATAAAAGGGCTGATCATTTAGTGGCTCAAATAATCTTTTCATTGACAGTTCGACTATTTGTCAGCTCTTACATATGGTTGTGTGGTGTTTTGTGATTATCTTTTTCAATTTACTATCTACCAAAAATTATATATTGATTTTTCGGGCGGTGGTCCTCCTGGTACAGGTATCAAGATTTCCTTCCTACATTGATTGTTTATACATGCACATATTGTATCAGGATCGTAATCCACACAATGGATTTGGCAGTCCGCATGTGTTTTGCATGGAGTTAATGAATCGTCTTCGAATCCTCTCGCCCTCACTACTACTCCATCTGCAAAACATACATTTTTTTTTCGTGTTAGACATTGTTTCAATGAGATGATTAAGAAGAACTGAAATATAATTATAAAAAAATGTGAAGAAAAGAGATTAGAGAAAATAATTACAATTATGAGCGATGAAGAAGAGGGCAAGTAATAAAGAGATCAGTTTGTTGGATGTTTTCTCCATTTTGATATCCTAGTATTTTCTAGGTGCACTCCAGATAATGAAAGGAGGATATGAGGGTGATTTCTCATGGTTGTAAATCTTCGACCATTTATAAACTAGTCCAAATTACATGCATGGTGGTTTGTATATCTTGATAATTGTATAAGTCATTATCTTTCCCAAAAACAAATGATTTGTTATGGTATTCCAAAATTTGTTATGGTATTCCAAAATTTTGAATATTTTTATGAACATTCCAAATATGTTTAAATTTTAAGATAAGAAAGTTTGCTGGAGGGAAATACTTAATTAGGATTTAATATCTTTGAATGATATTTGAACTACAAAGAAATTTCATTAACAATTTAAACCATATCACTATCTAATACTTATTTTATAATAGCGATACGATCTTATTCAAGTCTATTGAATATTTTTTTATATATGGATTGTTTGGATGAGTTATATTTTGCACATATGATATTTTTGGATAAAATAATGTGTTATTTTTAGATGTAATCTTTATGAGTTGTTTGGGTGTTTATCATGTGGGAATTTTCTTGTTTGGCTATGACATTCACATGAGTCAATATTTCATTTAAAAAAAGTAAGATAATAGGTTAGGTTTGGAAAGGGGATAAGTTATTTCAAATAACTATCCCTTTCTATTATTTAGATTAACTCAATCGAATTATCACTTTGTTTTCCACATAAGTCATATGAGTTATTTGGTTCAAAATAATCCATTGAAATAACTCGTCCAAATGAGATACATTTACTTTTTGGCAAAATTACATGTTTGGCCACTCAAATTCGATAAATATTTCACGTTTTCCACCCGAATTACTTTTCTTTCTTATTCGCCACTAACTTTACGAATCGTTTCACGTTTGGTCACCGACCGTCTGTCTACATTAACTTCGTCAGTTTTTTTATGACGTGGCAAACATAATTGTCGACTGTACTGTTAAACGAGTGACATGCCAATTTAAAAATTTAATAAAAATATGTATTAATCTTTCCACCTCATTATTATCATATTGAAACATAAAATATAATCCCAAAAAACCGTAAAATTGGTCTTCCGAAACCAACGCCGCCTCCTACCATTCCCTCCGTCCGCCCCAAGGTTCCCCGGCAGCCGCCGAAGCACCATCGACCTCTCCGCCTCTAGCTATTGGAATTTGGAACTTGGAGAAGAGGAGCATTCAAAAAACTCAACAATTCCTCCCACCGCTGAGACGAGAAGAGGAGCATTCAAAAAACTCAGAAATCCCCAAATATTTTCCACATCTCCAGATTTTTCTTGCTCCTAACTTATTCCCAGCGATCAAATCGAAAGCCCTTCTATCTTCCATTCTTGCCGTCACGAATCAAGAAAACCTTCTTCTATCTCCTATATCTGTCCTTTCAATCTGTGACTTCGGCGAACCTCCGTCTCCAGTGGTAAAGAAAAAAGGGTAGGGAATAACTTCATTATTTCTCTAGGTTTTCGGCGAACCTCTGTCTCTCGTTGTTGCATCTTCGCCTTCCCTGTCTCTACCTTCATCGCAATCACCATCGTCCAGTCTCCGATAGGCCGCCATCGCCGTCCAGCCCCGTAGGCTCCTACTCCATCCTCGCCTGTCGCCTCTGTTCCGCCGCTGCACCATCAGAAATTCTGATGCCTTAGCTTTACTCTTTGTGTCTCTGAGGATAAGAAAACCAGGAAAAGTAGAGGACATTTTCTCTGTCTATCCTCTCTCAAAATGAGGTGTAAATTAGTTTTTATTTTATTTTTTTAAATTGCCACATCACTCGTTTAACAGTCCAGTTAGTAGTTGGGCTGTCCTCTCTGTCATCTTCGACTTCTTGCTGGGCTCCTCATCGTCCGAACCCATAATGAAAAACCCGTTGGATTAAATCACAACTCTGATACAATGTAAAATTCGATATAAACGAAAAGCGGAAGTAACACGAGACCGGATTTACGTGGTTTCCCCATTCGATGTCATAGTTAGTAAAATACGGTACGAGAAGGTTACATATAAAATACGTACGGGTATTTTACTTCGTTTCTAAGCTAATCTTACGTTTAATAGTACGTTAACAGTCATAAATATATAAAATTAATTATTTTAAAAATAAATAAATAATATAAATAATACGAAAGTTAACAATTTAATCATTAGATATGGATATTAAACGTGTTATACGAGTTTTATACGTGTTTAGTACAGGAGCCATAAAATGAACGAAAAAATATGAAACGACTTGATAATAATACGGAACGGAAGTTTTAAACGAATAAAATACGCACGGGGTAAATATACGTGTATTAGACGGAGTATTTACTAACTATATCGATGTGAACGGGACTAGTCCACAGAGAGCTTGATTGAAGCTCTCAGAGTTTTCTTATTGCTGTATTTCTGTCTTAGGGTTCGGCGGCCATACATCTAGCCGATTTATACAAAGTAAAAACAACCTATATCCTCTACGTAAGTCACTTGGAGAAGGTAAAATATTAAATGGTCCCTATACTTATTACTAATGACAAATAGGGATCACAAAATTCTATTTCTATTTGATTTAACCATTCAAATAAAAATATCATCATTAAAATTCTTTATTGGTTTGATTTCGGTTTACACGAAATATCTTTGTTCATTCAACTAATTCTCAATTTTTTTTTGTTAGTCGTGATGACGGTTCGGTAAGTACACACTGGCATTGATTGGCGACACACGCACATAAAGATTCAGGAAAGCATTTCTGGTGGTGACACTGGCCCTTGCAGTCGCCATGTGCTTTGCATTTGGTTAATGAATTATCTCTAAATCCTCCTGCCGCCACTCGTCCAACTGCAAAATAAGTTTTACATATATTTTATGTCAATAGATGAACCCCTTAATATCAGTTTGAAATACTTATGTCGTGTTATCACATAAACCCGTTGAAACAAAGTATATAAGTCATTGAAAGTAGAGAAAAAAAGAAGAGATTATATAAGCTAATTACCATGAGCAATAAGAAAGAGCACAAACAATAAAGAGATGAGTTTGACCGATGTTTTCTCCATTTGATATCTTATTTTTCGTTCTTACTGCTCTTAAAACAGTGAGATTTGGCTATGGATTTATAATTGTTGGGATACAGGGATATGATTTCATGTTAAATCTTTGTCTATTTATAAGTCAAGATGACAAGGTTCTTTTGTTTCCAAATAGTTTTTTGATTAATTGTATTTCCTTTCATGAATATTCCAAATATTTAAATTGTAAATTAGGAAACCATATCTATGACTTAATTGACTGTAATCCTATTTAGAAATTCTTAAATAATATTTCTATTACAAGTAAATGAATTTTATTCACAATTTAGTTCATATTATAATTTGATACCTCTTCCATCGTAGTAATACAAATTTATCCCATCCTATTACACTAAATATACAAAATCTTATACCCTAAACAATACCCTACCTGATCGAACAGTAGGAGGTTTTCCTGGTCGAACAGCCAATACAGTTCGATTTTTATCCTTGCTTTTTTTATAAGACGAATGTAGGGATGCTCATGGATCGGGTAGGAGGTAGATAGTGCAAACTCATTACCCTATCCATGATAGTTGGAGTTTTTATTTATCTATACGCATACTCATACAAAAATCGGGTAGAATATTAAAATCATATACAATCGGGTTTCGAGTACCAATGATTATCCATGGGTAATAATTTTCTTTTATAACTCTAATCAATATGCTCACGTTCACACGTATACTGACATTACTTCATGAAAAAGTATGAAAATTAATCACTATAATGAAGAAAATTAGTTAAAAATAACTCAATTTGATGAAAATATTATAGACATATAATAAATATGAAATATCTTGAGAAAAACCATGTTCATTTCTAGATAAAATACATATGCATATGTATAATCAAACATATTCAATTTGGGTTGTATAAAAATCATATCCACCCATTACCCGCAATATTCAAATTTGGGTTTTATCCAGACCCGCTTAAAAATTTTCAGGTTTGCATTTTATCCTACTCAATTATGACAGATTCGGATGAGTATTCACTATGAGGAATATTATAAAAAAAGACGGGGTTTATTTATTTTCTTATGTTTAAGTGTTTCGTTCTTAGGCTTTCTTTCTTATGCAATTTTTCACTCTTCTTATGGGATTATAAATAAAATGGCCCTCCCGCGGGCTGCATTTTTTTAGCAAAACCAGTTTTGTCCTTATCGGTTTATAAAATATAAACAATGAAATCTATTTATAAGACATGATTAAAATTGTAGAGAACTCTCGCAAGACAAATGATCCGAGGAATACAAAACTCAATGATAAATACCTTATAAAACTTTAACTTCGCATAATTTATTAAAAATAAATCAAAATATTCCGGCCAATAGCCTGGGTCCAAGCTAGTTAGATAAGTGCAAAATTTGTTTTTTTAACTCTACAAGACTTCATCTTTCTCTTAATTGGACTCGATTAATCTACCTATTATTTGAATTTTTTTACTATGAATTAATTTCTTTGTTTTATCATTAAAAATAAACATTCTCTTCAAATAATACATAAAAATTAGTTGAATTACGCGACAAATACTTATGTGAGTATTAAATTTTTCTCCCACAATACACTCACCTATTGTTATGGTGGGGCCGGGGATGAAACAATGAGTCACCCCCACCCATTTGTATCATTATGGGTGGGTTGGATATGGGTGACGACACATGGTGGGTGGGTTTCGCGGTTTTGTTAGGTTAATATTTTAAAATAATTAGATAATTTTGATTCATAAAAATTTGCTAAAACTAATTGAATATCAATACTAAAAAATCCAAGAAAATTCAGTGGTACTAAATGTAGTTTCTTACATAATCTAAATCCAATTATCTCATTTGCGAATAAAAATTACTATATACATATTTATCATAATTTAAAATAATAGACGTTATGTTGCAAGTTAAGTAAAATTGTTAAAAAATTAACAGTAATTTAACTGAATCAATCACGATTAAAATTTTGAGATAAAAAAGATAATGTATTATTATAGAATGTGCATTGATGACTTAATATATCAAGTGATTTTGCGGAAAATGACCCACCCGCCACCCATTCAAATTTAATAGTTAACAAAAAAGATTACCCACAACCACACACCACATCCACTCAACATTAATGACTGTATTATAATCAGATGGATTCAGGTAAATTTAAGAGAAGGTGAGGAGGCGGCGAAAGAGTAAAAAAATGTTCGAAAAACTGGGCGGAGAGGCTCGCCGTGCTCATTGTCTATCCTTATTATCCGCCTCGCCTCAATAAGATCACTACTCACATGATAAGTAGTAAACAGATGTAGAAACACTCAAACTAAATATAACTTAAAGTAGATTCAAAATCATAACCCATTGCAAAATGCCATTTGCATACCGTTTGGTATAAATGAATTCCATAAGTTTTGAGAAATTCATTTGAAAATGAAATCTTTTTGTGTTTGGTATTTAAAAGAATTCATTTTCAATTTTAAATTTTAAATTCTATTAGAATGACATAATTATCTTCATTACTAATTATATTAGAATGACATAATTATCTTCATTAATTAACTAAATTACTTATACATATATTATGTGGCGCCAATTCATGCAGTTTGAGGAACATCAACAAGAATTTATTGCAATGCTAGTTGCATATGCTGGTTATTTGATATTTATGCTTCGATTGTATCAATATGTTGAGAAGCCACAACTAAAGTATATGGTTCATCAATGAAATAATAGGAAAGTACTAATGATTAGAACAGAAAAATACAATAACACTTTTAATATTCAAAATATGGGAGCAAATTTTTTTTTCCGGAGATAGATTTTCAATGAATAATGTTTCTATCGAAAATTAATAAGGGTGTAGTCGAAAACTTTTAATTTAATTCAATTCTAAACGTATGCCAACATGTTTGGGAATTCAGTTCATTTATTTCTAGAGATTTGAATATGAAATATCAAACGTAGGAATTCATTTGACAATGAGTTCTACGAGGTAATTCATTTGGACCGTTGTAAGAAACAAGGTTTCTTACAGAATGGGAATTGGGAAATTTAGCTAGATCAATTAGGGATTGATCTAACTAGGGATTAGGATTGGGGATTTTAGAACAAGAAGAGGGAAAAAGAGGGCTGCTGCCGCAGCTTTGGAGAAGAGAGGGAGAGGGAGAATCCGCAGGAGAGAGAGAGAAGAGAGAGGGTTAGGATTTAGGTTTTTGGTTCTGTAATTGCTTAATCCCAAAATAAGACCACTATTACAGATTATATAACCTGTCTAATTCCTATCTGCTACCCGAATAATAAAACGTAACAATTAACTCCCTGTTTATTCCCCCAAATACCTAAATAATCCCCCAATCATTAAAAACCGACACTAATACGAAATACCAAAAACTGCAAATAATTGTGTTTCCCACATCCCCGCTTCCTTCAAAAAACAACCTTGTCCTCAAGGTTGTTCCTCCAGCTCACTAGGCCTCTTCCTCTCCCTTTCCATCATCCTCGGCTTCATCTTCTGCTTCATCTTCCCAGCGTCCCACTAACATCATCAAATCCGGCTTCGGGCACTGATGACCAATGGTGAACCGGCCATCACAGTTGAAGCACTTGCCCTTCCGCCTCTGCTGCTCAATCTCTGCTGGTGTCAGTCGCACGAACCCCTTCGGTATGGTCCGCGGCCCCACCCTGGCCACCGGAGCCGGTCCTCCACTGCCCGCGTTGGCCCAAGTCGAGCCTCCCCCGGGTGCCCCTCCTATGCCGCCACTAGTACTGCTGCTTCCTCCTCCTCCGCTTGGCTTTGAGAATCGGCTAATGGTGCTTCTCCAGCTAGCCAGCTCTTCCTCCTTATGACCTGCAAGACGAAAAGCAGTTTTCACAGAATCGGGCTCAAACACTCTGACCGCCGCTGCTATCTCGGGTTTGAGACCCGCCATGCACAGCCCCACCAAGGTGTCCTCCGAGACTCCCTTGCACTGGTTTCCCAACTTGAAGAACTCCGCACGGTACTCAGCCACCGTGCCGGTCTGCTTCAGCTTCGCCAACTGCTCAGGAGCCCACCCATCTGACTTACCAAACTGATAACGGAGCTCCTCCTGAAACATGGGTCAGGTGATCAAAGTTGCTGCTGCTGCATAGGATCTCTCCATCCACTCCCACCATTGGAGCGCATCGCCCTCCAGATAGAACGATGCCAGATAGGCTTTCCTCTCCTCCGGAATTGGGTGATTTTTAAACCACCTTTCAACTGCATACAACCAAAGACCTGCATCCTCCTGCCCATTGAATTTGAGAAACTCAATGGTAGGAGGCTTAGCTCGAAAAACTATCCCATCCATGCCTTCATAGTTCGAATACTGGGGCCTATACCTGTCATTACCCGGCGTCTTCCACGGCTGCCCCCACTGAGAGCACTGCATCAGGTTCGGATTCCCGTGCCCATACCCACCTGGGTAACCGCCCGGCTGATTCAGGTATCCCCCTGGAACCGGAGGCGCCTCGTACGGGACCTCCCCTCCTCCTGGACCCCTGCTGTCCAATCGCCGGTTCGACTGAGCAGTAGGGCTCAGGCGATGCCCGGTTTGACCCACCTCAGGTCGACCCATCCCGGTCCGCCCCGGTCCGGTTCGACTCAACTCGGTCCGATCAACACTGGTCCGACCAATCCCGGTTCGGTCCGACCCCCTCCTGGCCCATCCGCCTGTCCCGGCCCAATAGGAGCCGACCCGCCTGGCCCCATCTGGTCAGCGGCCCTACTCGGCCCACCAGGCCCCCTCTGGCTCATCTCCTGTTCAGCCCACTAGGCCTGCTGGCCCGCCAAGTTTAGTTGGTCATACTCAGGACCATCTTCCAGATCCAGCCATTCCAGCCCGTTATGGATCCTTGTGTAGTGACCCAGCTGCCCCGGCCCACCATTCATAGGAGGCCCATCTGTGTCATACCCAGCCATCTTAGCCTTCCCTTTTCGGGCCGCAATTTCTTGGGCCGTGGGTGTAGGTAACAGGCCCGAGCCTGAGCCCAGCCCTACTACAGTCCGACCAGCCCGGCCCGGCCCAGCGTCCGCCGCCCTGCTCCCTTCGGCCCTCTCGACTGGCGCGGCAACCTGAGCTGCCGACGCCCCCGCCGTGATCGCCCCGCCGCCGGGCTCGCTGCCCGCCCCGAGCTCCGTCGTCGTGGCCCCCGCCGGCGCCGCCAGCGCCGCCGCCGCGGTCGCCCCGCCTCCGCCGCACCCAGACCGCCGCCTCCTTCAAACGTCGGCTCCGCCGGGATCGGTGCTCCCCCTGGACCGCTTCCTTTTGCCTGCAACGAGGTAATTGCCCTCATCAGGTCCTCCAGCCTCTGACGCAGATCGTCAGCATCCTCCTTCGCATCAGCCTGCACTCTTGCCATGCCTTCTTCGAGCCAGGCCAGCGCATCAGAGTGCTCGTGCACCACCACCTTCACCGCCTCCAGCTCGGTAAGGTCCTCCATCACCACCCCGTCAAGATCAGCACCGCCCGTCGCGTTGCTCCTCTCGGCTTCCTGCGCTGCCTTCTCCGCCGCCTTCATCGATTTCGTTGACACCATCGTTGCTTTCCCTGGTTCAAGAGTTCAAAGGAACTCACTCTCGAGCCAGGCTCTGATACCAGATGTAAGAAACAAGGTTTCTTACAGAATGGGAATTGGTAAATTTAGCTAGATCAATTAGGGATTGATCTAACTAGGGATTAGGATTGGGGATTTTAGAACAAGAAGAGGGGAAAAGAGGGCTGCTGCCGCAGCTTTGGAGAAGAGAGGGAGAGGGAGAATCCGCAGGAGAGAGAGAGAAGAGAGAGGGTTAGGATTTAGGTTTTTGGTTCTGTAATTGCTTAATCCCAAAATAAGACCACTATTACAGATTATATAACCTGTCTAATTCCTATCTGCTACCCGAATAATAAAACGTAACAATTAACTCCCTGTTTATTCCCCCAAATACCCAAATAATCCCCCAATCATTAAAAATCGACACTAATACGAAATACCAAAAACTGCAAATAATTGTGTTTCCCACAACCGTGCCACGACAGCCCAAATGATGATCCCTAGGTGTGGCGTTTCAGACCATGGCCTTGTTATGACCGTGGACTATGGGGACCAAAAGAAGCCTAACAATTATGCATTCTTCCCTGGCAAACCCAAGTGGAACAAGAACAACCTTCGATATAAGTTCGGGCCCAAGAGCCGCCCTCCTGCCGGGTTGAAGGAACCCACCATCAAGGCGAGGCATTACGGAGTTGGAATAATGTAACAAAATTCACGTTCGAGTATGTTGCCAATACTAGAGCGCAGGCTGACATGGTAATTTCTCTCTATTCTCGCCGCCACGGAGACGAGACTCCATTTGATGGGGCTAAAGGGCCCACGACCCATTCGTTTGCGCCACGTGCTGGAGAACTCCATTATAACGCAGATTATAAATGGAGCGACGATCCAAGCCCAAAGGACATGGATCTGCACGCAATCCATTATGGTGCATGAGATATCAATGGCATCTGTACATTCTACGGGTTGCATTGAAAATAAAAGCAACGGTCAAAGATGTATCACTCCTTCGCGTAGAAGTGGAGGTCATCGTATATATGCTCTTCAGGCGATACTAAAATAAAAGAAGATGTAATCTCTTAGAATAAATGGTTGTCTTGATCTCTAGCATACATGATGTTTGTTTATAGGCATACGTACGCTGTAACGAGTCATATAAAATTATAAATAAATAACTTCATCATTTTGTTATAGTAGATAGACATATATAATGCGATATGGAAACAATAACATTGGGTTTTCTTGTTATGAACATTGTGTTACTCATATGGGGTGATAATAAAAAAAAATTGGTCATTGCTCTGAATCCCGTTTGATGAGCAATTGGTATGAGAAAGGTATCAGAATAAAAATTAAGAATTGGGCATAAAGACACTAGGGTTGTTGTTATTGGATAATCTCAATCAATATTATAAAAATAGTATGCATATCTTTTGGCCATAATCCTACAAGCTAATTCATCTCATGATACCTGAAGGCGGATCCAATGAGAGGTTTAGGAATGTCCCATAATACCTCTAAATTTTAGGAGAAATTAGCGACCTTTGGGTAGTAGTTTTGGATTTTGTGAGAAAGACAGTTTCTTAATTTGAAAAGGCCAAATACACTTGTGTAGCCAAAACTTTGACGGTTTGGCCAAATATAGCCACTTTTGGCGAAATATTAAAAATAGCCACTTCCGTCCAATTGTTTGACGGTGTCAAGTAACGGGCTGACTTGACTAACGAAATTGCTGAGCTGGCAACCGTTAGTCAATTAAAAATGTGAGGTGGAAACTTAAAATAAATATTTTTTATTTTCTCTCTCCGTCTCTCTTCTTCCCCATCTCTCGATTCTTCCATCACCACGGGAGATTGCCATTTACAGAATCTCCGAACTCGCCATTAAGATCGAGGATGATACTCGAGCCGAGGGAGAAGGAAAGGATTTTGCTTCTGTCTTCCACCTCCCAGAGTTTCCATTCCACCGCCGGTGCTCCCTCAGGCCAATCAATCGAAGGGCATTAACTTCCTCTCGTCGCTGCAAATCTGGGTTTCGGAAGATGGATCTTGAAAGCTTCAAATCTGGGTTTCAATCGAGAAGATGAAGTCTAGGTTTCAATCGAAGAAGATGGAAAAAAACCCACCACCCAATCCCCCTTACCTCCTCCGCACTTCGTCTCCCCCAACCCTCTACCTCCTCCGTCTTGTACCCCCACCCCCACCTCCTCTGCCATTCATCTCCCTCATCCCTCTGCCCCCAATCCCTGCCACAATTCCCCTCTGCCTCTTTTGCCCTTCATCTTCCTCAACCACCGCCCACAATCTCACACTTGGTCTGTACCTGAACAAGCCTGACGAACCCGTTTCCTCCGATGGCAGCGTTGCTTCCGATAAAATCGAGGATCTCGGTGCAGGAATTAAGGCGGTTGTTGAGCTCGACGATCTGGGCGCAAAGGAGGAGGATCTCACATGAATTCCTGGCGGCGGAGGAGGAATTGTTCCTGGCGACGGCAGCGGCGCGGGGGAAGCGGTGAGAGACGAATGGATGCCGATGGACTGGGGGAATTGAATATGGTTTTGTGAATGGATGATTTTTGTTTGCAGATTCATGGAGGGTTGCAGATTCATGATTGGGCGTCATTCATGGTGGGTTTGAATGAAGGAATCAAACCAAAAATGAAGGAGTTTTGGTCGACGGCGGGGGAAACAAGGATGGAGGACGGTGAGGGGAAGGGGGCAATTCTTTGGATTTTTTTATAAATGATTTTTTGTTAATAAATTAAATATTTTAAAATAAAATCTGATGTGTCGCGTATATGTGACAAGTATTGGTGAGTTGTCAATGATGTGTCAGGTGAGTTGGCAGCCAGATCATCGTTCCGTTAATTTGACTAACGGTGTCACTGACGCCGTCAAACTATGTAACGGAAATGGCTATTATTGTCATCAAACTTTCAAATTTCTGGCTATTATTGGTATTTCTCCAAAAATAGCTATTATTGTCACAACCGTCAAAGTTTTGACTATAAAGTGTATTTGGCCATTTGAAAACCATTACCTTACACTGAACATAAAAAGACAGTATCCATTACACCTCAAGCTCATTTTTTTAAAATTTAAAACATCAAATATGTTTATGCATCAAATAATCTCCATCTAAATTTTCCAATTTTATCAAAACTCCAAAATTGAAACAAAATTTTATTAACTACTCGGCGCTCTATGAACACACAAATCTAAAGAATAATAGATGGTGGAGTTTTGCAGGCTTTTCGCCATTTGAAAATTTTTGGCCTCTCTATAATTTTCGCCAGTAGGGATGGCAACAAAACCCGAACCCACGGGTACCCACCCGACCCAACCCGGTCAACGCGGGTAAAATCCGTGTTGACGGGTTTTGGGCCGGGTTTGGGTTTAAACCCGTTCACTATTCACCGGGTTGGGTTGGGGTTGGGTTTAGGTAAACCCGACCCATGGGTACCCGCCCACCCCATATAATTAATTTTCTCGGTATATTTAATATTCTAAACAACTAATTTTATTTATGTTTGTGGAGACATGTCTAATTTTTTATTTCTAGTTGTGTAGAATGAAGTTGATGTTATGGAGTGGAGAGTGACAAACTTAATTGAAAGGAAGAAGCTTTCAATTAATCATGTTATTTATGGATAATTTGTGATTTGATTCAATTTTCTTGAGTTTTCTAGATTGGTGTTGAACAATTTGTATAGTTAATTTGTGATTTGCTTGAATTTTCTAGAATGATGTTTTATATATGTATAATTTGTATTGAGAGATTGATATTTTACTCAAATTTTGATAGGAACATGTTCTTGTGATTTTTTTACGACAAAAATCTGTGGGTACCCAATAACCCGCGGATACCCAACGGGTTGGGTTGGGTTTGAGTTTTTCAAACCCAGTGGGTTTTACCCCTGGTTTTTTTTCACGGATAAACCCATGGGTTTGGGTTTGGCAAAACCCGACCCAACCCGACCCATTGCCATCCCTATTCGCCAGAGGTACTTTTGTCCATTTTTTCAACAATTTTTTAGTATCCCGCTCAAATGTTTCTCTCTCCTCCGTTCAATACATTTTAATTTAATTGCTTTCTATTACAGCCCAAAGCCCATGATCTATTTTATATCATGTGAATTAAACTCTCGCAATAATCTTTTGGGTTAATACCTTATTTTGGCCCGAACTATACGGAAATCTTTTATTTTAATCCGTAATTTCTGAAATTGCTTCCTGACCTGATCTATGCACCATACTTCCTTGATTGGCCTGGTTCGGGTTTTGACCATTAGTCAAACACCAGGTCACTTGCCACGTCAGCCAACCCATGTTTTTTAAATTTGAAATTATTTATTTCTTTTCATTATCTAATAAAAATAATAATTAAAAATAAAAGTGAACATATTAATTATTTTCTTATTCATGAATGCTTGCATAACTTACTTATACTTCTTGGATTTAGGAATTAGAAGATCGAATGACAAAAATTATTGAAAGATATGGTTTTTTCTTATTGCACAAGAGTGATGAGAATATCATGACATAACTGAAAACATACTCATAGTATGGTGAATACTTAGATAATTTTACGGATAAAATATTCAATTGAGAAATATCTTAGTTGAAATACTTTATTAAATAATGAACTCAAATCTTCTGGCCAACCGGCCGGGTACATGCTAGTAAAACAAAGTGGCAAAGTTCTCAAATTGAGGCGATTCCCTCTAATTTAGTTATGTGAGAACTCCCTCTGGCCATGTTGTTCAGGCCGTCGTGAATTATTACCATTTTATTAAGAATGTTGAGATATTTTCATATAAAAAAGAAGTGGTGAATTAGCTTAGTTTATGGTGAAGAAAAAATTAAATTTATTATCAGTTATTTGCTTTTGAAATTTGTACTAGTTTTATCAGTTTCAATTAGATTTAGAAGTGTTACAAGACCTTTTCTTAAGCTTTTGAGCTACATGTGAAAAAACCTCAAAATCTAAAGGATTTGTGAATAGTTGTCTATTATAATATATAGAGAGATTTCTTAACAGTGTAGCACCTAGTGCATTTTTTAATTTTCCGGAACACGAAAACAGGCCGTGATACGGTGATAGTATGTTACAACTTAACTAGTTTGGTACAGGCACAACTATTATGGGAGAGCTCTGGGGCATTCTTCAGGGCCTTAAACTCGCTTGGAGAAGGGGCATTCAGTTCCTACTTTTGGAATCTGATTCCGCCTTAGCCCTGGACCTGATCAGACAACCAAATGACCCTTTGCATCTTCATGCCAGTATTCTTGGTGAGATTAGGCGTCTTCTTTCTCAAAATTGGGTGGTTCAACTAGGACATACTTACCGAGAAGGGAATAGAGTTGCGGACTGGCTCTCGAAGCACAGTCTCGTCTACCTATTTGGTATTTATGAACTGGAGGATCCACCCCAAGAGCTTGCGCGATCATTAGAGAAGACATCGTCGGAGTTAGCTTTCTCCGATGGGCTGTTAGGGAGGAGTAACTTTTGGCCTGCAGGTTCCGTCTTTTGTTCGGCAGTCGAGTTGTTCTTGTCTTCTGCCTGTTGGGATTTTTAGTGGTGTGAATGGAAATAAAAGGGGAAAGTTTCAAG